GACCAAACACCATCAAACATTGTTTGGTGACCAAACATTTTACCATTTGGCCACCTTGTTTGGTGCTGTTTGATTGTGTCTGGTCGTGTTTGGTCGTGTTTGATAAAATTTGAAGACCATCAAACATTCGATCAAACAACTTAAAACATTTCTTTTATTCTCGTGTTTGATGGGCGATGTTTTGTTCATTTGGACAGCTATATTAGACATGTTTGGCGCGCACACGCGTACCACGTGTGCTCAGCAGCTTGTATCCATAGTTTGATCTGTGTTTGATCAAACATGTTTTAACCGTTTGGCCACTCACTTCAACATTAGCATGTTTGGTCACCAAACAATGCTTAATGACGTTTGGTCACCAAACATTTCCCGTTTGGACAGGCCTTTACTGTTGGGTAAACGGGCCTTTAACCGGGGGGAGGAGGGGGGACTTATAAGCAGAGGGACTAATAAGCAGCAATTTTAAGTTGAAAAGCATATTTAGTAATATCGCCAGTTCCTTTTTGACAGTTAAAATGCTAAACACTTACGCATATCAAGTCTCTGTTCAACTGGAAGTGTTGCATTCTTACTGATAAGCCTTGTCAAGGAGGAAGCTGCTATCAGTTGGGAATAAGATGACTGAAAAACAAATTTAGCAAATGAAACTGAAAGGAAAATGCATGAGAAAAGAAACTGACTGTCTTCCATTTTCAAAGCTGTACCCCGAAGCTAACCAATTACTACAAATAAACCACATCAAGTCAAAACATGATCAGGTTCTTAATTCTTGTGATGTAACAGTGTCTGTTTTATCTATTTGTTAAGACGTTGAGAGAAGTTGCTATATTTTAAATCACCAAGTGCAACTTAACTTAAGATGTTAGTGTTCTCCACATCTACAGAATTCTTAAGGCTCAAAAAGTCTTTTATACTCACTGAAAAAAATATGTTTTCATTTGGCTGTTATATTAGACAGATTAAATATCCTTTGAATTATGGCCAATACTTAACAGTAGCAATCAAAGACACTGTGAATTTAAATACTGTTTTTTTCTGTTTCAAACTGAATATCTGATACAAACATTAAGCTTAGATTCCATGGCTATGATAAAGTATGCTAGGGGCACATTCCATTATTAAAATGATCATGTCATAAGAGCTTTTCACTACAGTGAAACCTCTATAGGTGGGAGAATGAGCAATGAATGTACAGTAAAAGAACAAAAAAGGGATCAACTTTGTCACCTTTTGAAGAGTAGGATATCAAACTTTAGAAAGAGTGTTGTATTTTACAATTAGTAGTAATTATATCACTAATATTATTGTTTGCAACGAACGTCTTAGTGATATTGGCGAAAATGGTAAGGAGTATAAGGAACTATAAGAAGCCACTATTGTCATTTGCTTTCCCTAACACATCCTAGATGTAGCCTGTGTTGGAAGAGTCACATTATAGAAACGATATATGTTGGAACTGTCAAATCTTTGCAATGGCACATGCACGTGCAAATTAAGTAATTTATGCACTGTTTATGGCACGCGAAAAACACTGGATGCCCGTTAACGAAAAAATCCCTAAAATACTCCACATTCCACTCAATTAAAATTGTCTAACAAATGGCCAAAAATCAGCCTTGATAAATGACATGAAAATGAAATTAAATAGAGCACAAACATAAGCTAATAAGGCCAAATAAGATATGACACTTCGCGCGCGAGATCAGTTTTCTCGCATCGATTCGTGAACTGTACAAATTTGGTCACATCAAACGCGTTGATATAACGCAACTGTTCACTATATCGTAAGTAAACAATGGATTGAACTTAAACTTACATTCCCTCGTTCTAATAGATATTGACACTTTGTCAGACAGTCGGGGGAGTTTGTGAAGGTGGATAGCGCTCTTTCCGCCGCATTTCTCGTCGCTGTGTCGGTAGCTTCGTACAACTGCTTGCAAAGGAGGTCCAGCTGGGCGATTTCCTGTCAAGAGAAACAAAGTTTCAGGGTACTTTGCATATTAAAAATAATTGGAGGAGGAGTAGTTTTTAGCTCACTGTACAACTTTATTCCCAGGTTACCTGTTCCTCCATTTTTGTTTTGGACCCAAGACGTGGCCAGGCGCACGTTGCATGCGCATGCATAAGAGAACCGCTGATAACGTATGCTTCATGCTTGCGCGGGGGGTGGTAGGGGGTGACTGGGGGCGGTGTGGTGGGGGGGGGGGGGTAACTTTACATGAAAGTTTGAGACAACTTGAACTTAAAGAAATATTCGATGAAATAGCTGTGTCTAACCTTATGAAGTATTGGAACGCTCAAATTATCAATACAGGATTTGACTTCAATGACCGGTCTATGGAAAAAAGGGTGCGTCCTTGCTCTTCACGGTTCTTTGAGCGCTCCTGAATCTACTTAGTCTTTGTCAAAACAGAGAACCTCAAACAGTAATGGAATGAAGACAATAAAAAAACATTTAAAAAGTTTCTTTAAATATTTTTTATAACATTTCCTCGGCTAGTGCTGGTTTATGAGATTAGCAATAAGAGTAGATCGATGGTCGGAAACGAGCTTTCAAGACTTTGACAACATTTAGGCCTTAGCTTGGCCCGAAAAAGACTGCGATCAAAATGAATATTAACTACGTCTGCCATATTCACTTTAGAACGTTAAAAATCGATCACATCCTCATTTGTACATGTACAGTACTACTTTAAAGGATACTTGAAGATGAACATATGACATTTCCGCTATATGAATACGTTACCAGTAACTATTTTCAACATAAAATTAAGTTTCCGGACAAAACATCCCAATGGCTCATTCCCTCTATGAGACGCTACTTCGGGGAATCATGGTAGTTGCATTCATCAAAACAAATATCCAGCCCAAGATGATGAATACATGAAGATATGATTGATCATCGCAGTTATGCGCACAACTTAAGCAGTTGTGAAATTAAAGCCTGGAAAAAAATTTAGGACTGAACGGGATTCGAACCCATGACTTCTGCGATGCCGGTGAAGTGCTCTACCAACTGAGCCATCAAACCAGCTGGGAGCTGGCCACTTGTGAGGAATTCAAGTGAATATATGAACTTTCATATATCTGAACTGCGGAGAATGATATGGAGACATGATTGATCATCGTACCGGTATCGCAGAGGTCATGGGCGCGAATCCCGTGCAGGCCTGAATTTTTTTTCAGGCTTTAATTTCACAACTTCTTAAGTTGTGTGTATAACTACGATGATCAATCATGTCTTCATATCATTCTCCGCAGTTCAAATATATGAACTTTCATATATTCACTTGTATATGATGAATACAACTACCATGATTCCCTGCAGGTACGTCTCATAGAGAGAATTGGCCATTGCATTCACGTAAGTTGATATTTTGGAAATGAAGTAAGAATTTGGCGCAGAGGAAACAGAAATTTAACTCTGAGTTTATTATCGTTATTCGTAAGTATAGTCTGAGGAGTATTTCTTCTGAGTTTGATGGAACTGCTTTACTTTCCGTTAAACCAGCATAGCACTTCTGAAGAAGTCGACTGTTTTCCGACAACCTGAAAAAGAGTGAAATATAGAGTTGACATTCCCGCGGGAAATGAATGCAGATCTTTGCTTTCTTCAATTCTGGATATATAAAGCTTCCTTTTGTGACGACCATACGATGGATAACCGAGTTTATATAAAAAAAAATATGTTACTTTAGTTTGTCTACTGATTGACTTAGTCCGCTAAAAATTGCGCTCCATAAAAAAAATGTCGCAGTTGCGGTTACCTGATCCTCCATTTTGTTTTGTAACATAACTAAAGCAAAGCGCGTGCTCTGATTGGTTAATTTAGCGTCTGCTATTTGCCCATGGGTGTACGCTGCTGACGTGTGTGCTAATGTTTACAAAGCAAATCTTTTGACAGACATTGTTTCCAAGGTAATGGCCGACGTCCTTCTGCCAGAAATGCGAAACTGTTTTCACAGTTGTCTGAAGATGAAACTTCATCGAGTTACTGGTGTGCAGTCGGTTGTCATGAATGAATTTTCGCGCGCTTGCTTTCTCTTGTCATGTAAGACTACACGAACATTTATTTGTGATGTAGCTCAATAAAAGGACCTCTGTTGTTCCAATGTCTCAATGTTATGTTATAAAACAAATGGTAAACGCCATAGCGTGCACTATTGAGTTATGGATGCACTTGGGAGGTTTGCTAAGCACTCAAGAAGCTAGAGTCGCACTCGGCTATCGCCTCGTGCGACTCTTACGCTTCTTTCGTGCTTAGCAACCTCCCGCGTGCATCCATAACTCAATAGCGCACGCTATGGCGTTTACCATTTGTTAATTGGAACAAGACGTGCCCAGGCTCACGTTTCAGTGAGAGAGACGTATGCACAGAGTAGATGGCCGCCAACGAGCTTTCAAGGTTTTGGCAAGATTTCACACGATAGGGTGGGCCGAAAAAGACTGGGATCAAAATGGATTGATAGCGTCTGCCGTGTCTGCTAGATTCACTAGAGTGTTAATATCTTGTGGGCTAATTCAACAGTAAATACAACTTGGAAAGCTCTTAGCTTTGGACACATGAGCACGTTGAGGATTATTGGCAAGTAACGTTGACTTCGTCAATTGTAATACCTTTTTTTACAGTAGATCACTTTCCGCTTGTTTTAGCGAGAGAGATATTCAGCTGGAAGTTGCGTGAGAAATTTTTAATCATAGAACAATAATAAAAAGAAGAGAAAACGTGGTTACCTGCGAAAATGTATAATTCAGTTGTTAGACTCGGAGAATAATTTGAAGGTGGGATAGATTAAGCCAGAGATAGCTGAGGCAGGATCCCTCGTGCTACAGATTTTTTTCCAGTTTTTTCCCCACAAGTTTGTGACTAGTTTCTCAGAAACCAGGAAAGATAATTTTATGACTAGTTCGACAACTTTTAGCATGAAATAGAAGGAAACATAAACTTCTTATATCTAGTAAATTCCATCATGTCACGTTTTCTTTAAAAATGCTGAAAGAGAAGAAATGATTATGAAACAATTTATTGACTATAGCTACAATAGTTTTCAAATGCAAACAAACTGTAGCAATTAATATCGCGGCAAAATATATAGTCCAGTGTCATCCAGGGTTGCAAAATTGCCGGAAGTCTTTGTAAGAAGGCATACGGCTGTATCTTGCCAATTGTTTAAAATTCAGCGTTAACTGAACATATAAGAAAGAAACAAGTGAAACTCCATGGAAAAAAGGGAAGTTTGCTTTGCCGTATTCTCTATGGCGCGTGCGGGCCAAGGCGTTTTGATTGAAACCCACTGAATGTCGAAGAAACGCCATACCACAGAAAATTCACTGCCGTCAATATTTGTAGCTAGTGTTTTATTGGTTTCGATAACAAGTTAAAGCCGGACAAGTCGTAAATACTAATACGCGTCGGGATGCGAGAAAACTAAGGACTGCCGGGCTATAATTATGTATACGGAGTGATGGCAAGCAATGCAATAGGCAAGACTGATACAAAACATGTCAGCGAGTAACGGCTCCTACCAAAGAATTTTCAATTCGAGCTAATTTGTATTCCGTCCAACCACGAACCAAAACCAAAATTCTACCGACAGTATTGGATTGATTGGGACACAAGGTGACGCTGTTTACCTTGCTTCAAAGATTCAGGGTTTTGTTGATGTCAGATTGAAAATGTTCTCTGACGTCTTTGTGGGTACTTGCCATCACTTTGACTCTGTCTGAAATTAATTTCAGTCCGAACTTCTGAATTTCTCCAAAATGGTTCATTTCTTCAACTTATCAAGTTTCCGCTCCAACTTGTTTTTCCGATCTTTACCACGTAAATAATTAAAAATTAATATCGCTGTTTAAATTCGCTTATCGTGATTATGAGTTCTATCCGTTTGGTAATGTGCCAAAGTGGGTGTCCATAAACTAGCAGGAAGTATAAAGTAAGAGGGTTTATTCTTGCACAATATAAACAACAACGGGACGAAATGACATTGTTGCCTCAAACTCATACCCAGCTATGAAACGAGACGTGTTGTATGTCGTTCTTCCACTTTTGCAGGTACGTATTACCAAAAGGATTAAGGAATTAAGGCTGTCAAAAGCTCTGCCAAAATGTTTTTTTTTCGGGTTGTCGTGTTGTCACTCGAGTTCAAAACAAGGGATGAAGTGGGGTTATGTTCTAGACAGATAGATTATAAGAACAGGTATGCAAAAAAAGAAAAAAAAAAGCAGGAGAAATGTTTGTCGACGCTAAAACGGCAGTACGAGAGATATTGGCCATGTTTCAAGACAGCGTTTGCAGAATTTAGGATGAAATTCCTTAAGAACTTTGTTTGCTAATGGCCCAGTGTTCTGGAAATACGGGAATTTCGATTCTCGGACTATTTCTCTTCTCGTCGTTTATGGGGGTGGTAAGTATTTCTGAGGGCATGCTTTAACGACCTCTGCCTATATTTTACTTATATTCAAGATTTATTGTACTAGAAACAAGAACTAACCACATACTTTGATACATTCTGAGTTGTCGATGGTCGAATATTTCCGCTTTGAACAAACGATCAATATCGTAATTATTTCAGCCGCCCCTTTGTCTGTCCTTTTTTGCTTGCAAACTAAAAAAAACACAAAATCGCGTTGCGTTTATTTTTACACATATTTCACTTGATACTAATATGCATTAATAAAGGTGCTTAAAAAATTACTGAGCGAGACTGGTAAGTCTCCATCTATCCAAATAAACGGGCCATTAGCGAGCCATAGCCTTTAATACGGTCTTCATGATGTCAATTTGGTAGCAATCACTGAAACCCGTGAGCACATCTAGGCTCAGGGTCTATCTCACTTTCCACTCTGATATCATTTGTTCACCAGGTTCTGAGTGATTATGAAACCCAGGGAAGCTTGGTCCTAAATTCATCGCAAGGTATGAATATTTCAGTTGAAAAATTAGAACAGCTTTTAAACTCTCGCATAAAATAGCTATTCGTATTAAGTGTCCACATCATGTTTCGCCAATGTGCCAATCCATGAAATTTCTCCAATCGTCCAAAGAACTTCGAGCTTTCTCTTGTTATGAGCTCCCAGTCATCTGTTCGTGTCAGAGAAGTCAACTTGAATTGAAAACTTTAATTCGGTTTATGCAATCAAATAATCTGGGTATTATAAGCGGAAACGTTACATGATTTTGCTAACACTTTGCCATGACAATGCCATTTTGAAACGAAATGTTTTACTTGCCCCGCCGGCTTTTCTTCCTTCAGTCATTTCTTCTTTTTTTACCCAAAATAAGGGTGGGGCCCGGGCCTGCCCTCCCCTAGACCGGCCACTGCGTTTGATTTGAAAACGTTTCAGAAACTCGCCGAACTTAACACGTTTGCATTTCGTCAAGGTGACAGTTATAGAATTACTAAATAAACATATCCCGAATGAAGAAATAAAATTTTCAGGTGATTGTGTTGGTGTTGGCTGCTTCTTCGACACCATTACAATCTTTTTAGGAATTTTTTTTAGTAAAGTATTCTCAAAAAGAAAACAGTTCAATTTATGAGTCTAGAGAGTTGAAGAAACCAAAAATAACCTATATTGACAATTACTTTCGCTTTGTTTTCGCACCATGGCAACATACTTGGAAAAATGAAACGAGTTAAGTGTCAAAAGCTTGAGCAAATATTTGCCTTGTGAGGGACGCAGTTATTAATTTGCCGACTTGGCACAAATGTAAATTTATTTTCGTGTTGGCTGTCTTGCGTCCAGAAGAAATAAATCGCTTGCGTCAGATTTCCATTTCTAACTTGGAAACTAATTAAGCTTGTGCAATTAGATTCCTAAAATAAAGAAAGGGATTTCATTGTGGTATACCTGCTTTGCTTACGGAATATCATGCTACGAAATTTAAAATGAAAACGATTCTGATTTAGACACGTTTTGTGGCATGAGCCATGAGTAGCATTAGGCAAGGAAAGATGAAGGTCTGAACAAACTCGGAGAAAGGTAAACAAAAAAAACTGTCCAAGCAACGGGCACTGAGATGACAGGTTAGGCTAAAGTTGACATCATGAATAATTCTATTTCCAACAACGTCACAAAACCGCTAGAAAAATGTTCTACAGTTGATATTGTCGGTAGATGAAGGGTTTCTGGTTCCGCATAAGGGTAAGGTCTGTTCCATACCACTCTCTATACTGTTTAAGTGTGATAAAACTTTTCGAATATTAGAAAATCGGCCGGCGATATACCAAATGACACCAGTCATACATGGAAGAGGCGGCGATGTGTCATAATCCATGGCGAGATAATTACCTACTTACTTCTAAAGGCTTTTTCTTTGAGCTACGTCGACGCTTTTAAAGATGTTGCTTATCGTGGACTGAAAATAATGCAAGTGAGAGCTTCGTTTTGTTTAAAAGAGGAATGTTATTCCCCATTCAATAAAAATATACTACTGGTGAGAATCAATTCCGTATTTGTTTTCGGAATAAAAGCGGGATTAGTATATGTAATCGTATAAATGCGAGTGCAGTTAAGAATGTACACTACGAGTGAAATTTGAAAATTCTCTCAAAATTGCACGAGCCTTTAGGTGAGTGCAATCTGAAAGAATTTTCAAATATCACGAGTAATGTAAATCCTTAATTGCTCGAGCTTTCATATGGTTACTCATTTATTGTATGACTAAGGAAAATCGAGAACGCGTGCGCGGCACTCCAGCGCAAATTAAGAATGAACGATTGATTGGCCTGCTCTCAGCCAATCACAATGATGTAATTTTCTCAGTTATATAATGATGGACCTTCCTTCTCTGCCCCACACGAGACACTGGGAGATGAGATTTATTTCCAACTCTGGTGTCTCAACCACAATGGGCGACAAAAGTAGTCAAGACACTTTTAGAAAATAACGCTTTTCGATATTTAACCTCTTATTCCATTTCATTTGCATCTAGGGTTAATTTTCTGATACCCTCCACTCCCCTCCCCCACCCCAGTTCAATGTTGTGTAGGTGCTGTGGTCCGTGCAGTCTTAGAAATAGAAAAATCAACATTGCTTGTGGGCGAAGGGCGAAAATGTTTCCAAGACGCTCGAAAATCGAATTTTACTTACTGTAAAGTGTCTCATCACTTTTGTCACCTTGTTGCCATCTGTGCCATACATATTTATAGAACATTTGAGCGTCGACCTTGAAAATGAAGTGGCACTATATGTTTGGTACGTTATGTGCGCGATAACTTCGTCTCATTGCGAGATCTGAATGTTGGGTCTGTTGCCTACTTGTTTACCTTCCTGCAATCAACCTCTTTTTATTTCGTTGGCAGGTTTTTTCCATTTCTGCGAGTTCTCGGTTCTTCCGGTAGCGGTGTACCCTTTCAATAGCGAAACTTTCGCCAATGATGTCTCACAGCATAAAGCCGTCGGTGAGTTGGTGGGCACATTATTTTCCCCAGGGATTAATGGCGACCCAGGAGGTTCCATAGAAGTCCAAGGCAGAGCCGATTCCTACATCGAGCTAAGCAGAGATGCTGGAAACTTGAATATTAAGTTGTCAATCACTATCTTATTGTTTGTGTACCCAATGGGTAGCCCAGGCCCCATTGTGAACTACAAGAAAGACGGGCACGGTGTTCAGATTTACGAGACAGGCAGTGCCCTTGCGGCGCGCGTCATCCAGCGAAACGACGGTAGGACAAAGCCTGTAGAGACGAAGAAAAAACTACAGCGAGATCAGTGGCATTTCATTGGAATGACCTACAACTACTCAAGCGGGTTGGTAAAGCTGTGGGAGGACGGACGCGAGGTTGCATCCAGAAATATCGGAAGTATACAGATCGCCACACAGTTTGATGTTCGCATCGGAGCTCGTCAAATAGTTAATGACTACAACTTCTTCAGAGGCAGGGTAGCATGTTTGCAATTCTACTCCACAGCGCTAACGCAACGGGAAATTGAAAAGGCGCGAATAGCTTGCATTCCCTGTAAGTAAAAGATTTCTTTGATACACTCAGTGTAATCTTTAGTGACTGTTACTTCTATATGGGAGGTGTGTCTTAACTGTATGTCGCATAGTTGCCGCAAGTATCTGGCCAGAACCACGACTCATTGTTTCCCGGTACTCAGTAGTTCAGGGGTTCCTGAAGTCAGTAGAGACTTAAGCGCAGAGTAATAATTTAGAGATAACTATCTTATCAACGTTTTAAAAAGGCAATAAGTTATATGCCTGTTGCATAAATAATATTGGCAAAAGGGTCCCTCCACCAGTGGGATTTTTTATGTCCTAGTCATGTTCTGAAAGGCCTTGAACTCTCCTAATTAAGGTTTCATAGTCTCAGAAACTAAAACTAAAAAACACACACAAACTACAAATATAAATACAAACCTAAAATACAAACCTAAAATACAAACCTAAAATACAAACCCAAAACCCAAAATACATATCTCTCTCCGCAGTGCAAATATATGATCTTTCCTATATTCACTTGTATAAAAATACAAACCGTGGTTTTTCCTCAGCCAACGTTATCTATAAGGTCCTATAATGCCCAGGAAGTGTGTTGCACACAGGCTAATGGAAGCACAGTCACAAGGTTTCCCACTGTTGTCTGACATTTATTTTTTTTCCTAATTCTCTCAGTTGAACCTGTGAGTACAATTTATATTAAAGTACGGCATAAAGACAAGTACATCGAGGTAAATGACAACGTCTCGGTTGAGGTACGCAACGACAAGAACTTAAAGTTCAATGAGTATAAATACGATATGGGTGATGGCAGTCCGCTCGTTACCACAGATCATGACTTCAATTACCATCGCTACTCGACGCACGGAGATTTTGTCGTGGAGGCCATCATATACAGTCGTTGCAGGAATGAAACTTTACGAGTAAGAGCTACTGTTACTGTCGAGAAACCCGTGGAGTTGCTGGGAAATCTGACCCTGTCAATAGATCCCGTTCCATTCCCCGCTTCCCTGTCAGCAGTTCTGACTTCAAATCGAGGCACTGATTTCAAATGTTACTGGAACTTCAGTGAAGGTCACGTGGCTGAGACGAGTTTCGCGGATCACGGATTAATACACAAATTGAAACACACATTTAACGCCACGGGAACGTATTTGCTGCATGTCAGTTGTAATAACAGGCTAAGCAGAGCGAATGTTACCTCGTTGGTGATTGTACAAGTTCCCGTTAAGGGATTAGTTATTGACAAAATTACTCCAAAAGCTTTTCTCAGGGAGTTTCGAGTCACGTGGCATCTTCAAAGCGGTAGTGACATTGATTACACCGCAAGCTTTGCGAATAAGGACCTCGAGATACTCAAAGGCCAAAACGATTCAAGCGGCTGGGCGTGGGTACGACGTCAAGATCACGTGGGTCCAGGCATCTATGACGTCACTGTCACAGCAACCAATAAGGTGAGTGGGATATTGCAAGCTACAGAAACGGTCCGCATAGAAAAGGAAGTGCAACCTTTTGTGCCAATTGTGTTTCATTTAAATAAAGACATCGAAGTCAATGAAACTTTGTTTCTGCTTGTGACAAAAATTAACGAGGAAAATGTCGCCAATCCTGTTTATCATATCGACTTAGGGGATGGCAGAGAGATGATGAAAACAAGAAGTTTAACAACAAATTTCAGCTATCCAGACTACGGAGACTTTCTGGTCACCATAAATGCTTCAAACAACGTATCGTTCTATAACACGTCTATCTTAATCAGGGTCCACAAACCGGTGCTGTTGATAGAAGATTTAACTCTCACTACCAAACCCACAATATACTTACAAACCACCGTGATAACTGCACGCATAACAAGAGCCTCGGATGTTGTTTGCACCTCTTCGTTCGATGATATTCCCAATTATAGCAGTGAGTTTGACCTACGCGCAGAATCCGCCTGGGATCCCGTTAGACGTTCCATGGATGAGAACGTTCCCGATGTGAGGTTTTTAATAACGCGTAATTACACCAGGGTTGGAGTCTACTCTGTCAAAGTCAGTTGTAAAAATCGCCTCAGTCAAAAGAACGCAACGATCGATGTTACAGTTCAGGAATTAGTCACTGGAGCTCGTTTGATTGCCATTAAGCCAGTAACGCTCGGCAAACCGATCAACATCAGCCTGGAATTAAGCTCAGGAACCAATGCTTCTTTTGAACTAGACTTTAATGGATACAAATTCCAGCAGACAATGGAAGGATCCTCGATTTTTCATGTTATAAATCAAGACGTGTACCACTCTGCCAGTTTTCACGAATTCACTGTAACCGTTTGGAACCTTGTGACCACTGCTATTCAAATCCCAGGCCACGTGATCGTAGAAGTTCCCATATATGGTCTTGAGGTTTACGTCACAGGAGGTGCACGCGATATAGAAGTCAATGAGAGCGTGAATATGGCAGTCAGCTTGATAAACGGAAGTAACCCGGAATTTGTGTTTGACTTTAACGATGGAAGCGAACTTTTTATCACCCACAGGCATGCTGTTGACTACAAGTTTAATCCCCATTCTTTGTATGTGGTGAATGTCACAGCAAGAAACAATGTAAGCCAAGAATTTGCCCTAGTCGATATCTCAGTCGTTAAGCCTGTACTTGCACTCAAGGGTCCCTCGGTTAGCATCTCGCCAACTGCTGTGAATGACGCAGCCAAACTTGTCCTCCGTCTGACGGAAGGTTCTGATTTCTTCTGTCTCTGGCAGTTCGGGGATGGTTCAATTCTGAATTCCAGCTACGAGCATCTTAGCTTTTATTTCGATGGCAAGACGACAGACAAAAGACTTTTCCAAAATCTGACATTTTTTGTTCAACACAAGTACACATCTGCAGGAATCTTTCACGTGTCAGTCAGTTGTCAAAACCGCCTGAGCTCAGAAGTTGCTTTTGCAAAGATCGTGATTCAAACCCTTATCAAGGGTTTAAATATCATAAAGGTTCCCACTCAAGTCGCTGGCCAGGAATTTCAAGTTTCTTGGAAAATTTTATCAGGAACAAATGCGACATTCAATGTCACCATTGACAGAGGAAGCATCAGGTCTATTCACACTTCAGCATTAGAAGGTTTTGCTAAAATCGTTCTCTCTGCCCCTGGTCAATACACAATCTGGGTCTCAGCCCAGAACTTGGTGAGCCCGATTCAGACTCGGTCAGCGGAAATCACAGCAGAAGTTCCAATCTCTAACGTGACTGTCAACGTCACATATGAATCGCGTGACCTAGAGATAAACCAGAATGCCACCTTTATCGTTCAATTAGGTACAGGAACAAGTCCAGTGTTTGCATTCTCTTTTGGCGATGGCTATAAATTTGTGAATGAACTTGGAAAGGTCACGCACAAATATGGTTTTAGCGATGTTTACCTCACGCAACCTAATGTTACTTACCAGGTTCGTGTGGAGGTTTATAATAATGTCTCTTCTGCTGCTTCCTTGCTGAATGTTACGGCACATAGACCAGTTCTTCGACTTCAGGACGTAAAGCTTTTCGCGTTTCCCTCTAATGTCTCTGAAAATGCGAGGATTATTCTTACCATCCAGCAAGGCTCCGATGCTCTCTGTGTCTGTAATTTCGGAGACGGGAGCGTACCGCGTGAACTGAACTTATCCAAGAAGGCATTCTTAGGCGCAGATCGGACACCGGTGGATATCTTTCGCAACAAGAGCTATCAAATCAGCCATGTGTACGAAAAAGTGTCAAAATACCAGCTGCTTATGGAGTGCAGAAACAGGCTCAGCTATGAACGCCAAGTCATAGAAATTGTTATCCAGGAACCGATAAGAGACCTGGAAATTTCAGACATTCCTCCCCGGCTGTTTAACGAAACTGTAGTCATCTCGTGGAAAATTGCCAATGGCACCGATGTAAGCTTCCGATTTCTCTTCGCAAACTTAGGCTTTCAAGAGTTGGGAAAGCGTCGAAATATCACAGTCACACCTGGTGAATATAAAGTTTCTGGTGTGTTCAGAGTCTTGGTTGTGGCTCGGAACTTAGTATCCCAGATGGTTGACCGGACAACGGCAATAATTCAACTTCCGGTCTCCATCCAGAACGTGACTGCTAGGATACCTCAGCAAGGCGGGTCACGTGGTGGGTACGGCTTTTTAGGTGACTACTTCCCGGCTGGCCGTGACGTCACGTTCGAGGTTATCGCTCAAGGAAGTGACTTATCATACCAGTGGCAAATTGATAACGGGATGGAAAAATTCACGAAAGAAACTTCTATTAGTCATAGATTTTACCGAGTTGGACCCCACAATTTGACGGTACTGGCGAGAAACATGGTAAGTGATGCCCACGCTAACATCACCGTAGTGATTCAGTACGCCATTGAAGATCCCGTATTAGAGAGCAACAGCCCGCAGAAAGTGAAACAACCAATCAAGTTTCACCTTAGCGCCGCGCAGCTCGGTACAGACTCGTGCTTCTCTGTGGACTTTGGAGACGGTAAACATTCCTTATGTGGTCATCCTGGATGCAAAGCTAGAAACTCGACAGCAAAATTTACTGTGATATCAGCAGTGGAAAGCGTTAAGTTTGAGCATGTCTACAGTCAAATTGGAGAGTACAGTGTTTCGTTGAACGCTTCCAACGAGGTGTCGTTCGTTCAAGTTGGCACGGTTGTAGAAGTGGAGTATGCACCTTGTGCAAGCCCCGATATAGAAATCGAAAACCTCAGTGCACACTCAAAGACGGCTTCCAAGTCATTCCGATCTGATCCCTACGTTGTCCACACTCATATACACCTTGGCTGCGAGAGAACAAACAAAGTGAAATTCAACTGGAAACTGCTTTTATTAGACGAAAACGGCGTTCAAAGCACCAATCATGATAACATTATTCTGACCGAACGTGAACTAAACATTCCCAGGAAAGTACTGGCGTATGGTTTATATGAAGTACACTTCACTGCGCAGATGGCGCTTCCCGATACCAACAAATACCGCAGCACGGCGATTGGCTATTTAAGGATTGTTCCTTCGCCGCTCGTTGCAAAAATTGACGGTGGTAATTTGATCAGCCGGGGGTTTGGGAAAGAGGTAAAGATTGACGCGTCCCCATCAAAAGACCCGGATGTTGACAGTGGGAAAGATTCTGGTAAGTGAGCATTTACATAGATTTGACAACACTACTTTAGCGGCAGGGGCATTTAGCCTTGTTTTCAACCCTTTGGTATTTCTACATATAAGTAAATTTTTTTTTTCAGTTTGACTTTGCTTCTCTCCGATCCCTTTCAGCCTTGTACCAACACTAAAACCCCAGGCCTTCGTCTGTCGAAAGGTGATAAATGCTGTCTTCGGCCTAGAAACCGGTTTGTAATGGTTCACGGCATTTTCTTCCACAGGATTACGTTACACTTGGTTATGCAGGAGCGTTCACACTCAGTTCCCAAAAGATGTTTTCCCGCAGATGAACTTGCGCACTCCTTACGACACCACAAGTCAACCAGCACTACCTGGTACAGCTCATTCTACAGGTTGCTATGGTGATGGAGAGTTCGTCTTTGTTGGTAATAATGCTTCGCTAAGTCTTAACACGACGAGAATGATGGAAGATGCGACGTATGTGGTGTTTGTAATCATAAGGAAAGGAGCAAGGACAGCGCATGAGTATCAAGTCGTGGAGGTTATTCAAGGCGATCCACCTGTGTCAAGATTAGAGTGAGTAACATCATGTCACATTGTCACGTAATGCTATAAATGCTAATTGTCATAACGTCATCTGGCTGAACATATTCGGTCAATGTTGAAGCTTTTAAGTTCTTTTAAAATCTTTTTGACTCAACTAAGTCACGTTATCCATCCTATAATCTTAGGCAACACAATTCAGTTCGCCGCAAAAGAGAACTGAAATACATGCATATACAATACTAAACATTTAATTTTTTTAAAAAAAGCTTTCTTATGAGATAGATTGAATTGACGGGGTCTGCTTTTTTTTCCTCGAGTTCAATGGAATCGCTTGAGTAATGCTTTGATTTTGTAGAGCAATACTTAGAAGTTGTTTTTACTCACGGAAGTGATGAATAGACTTAGCAAGAAATGGATTATAATTTTAGCAAAGTTAAAAATACGAAGTTTATGCTTTCAAGTTTGCCGCTGAATAAGTATAGCAGGAGCCATATGGGCTCCAGAATAGAGTCTGCGCCATTTTAAACCTCTCTGATATATTTTAAGGGAACATGCGTGCTTTGTGAGATATTCAAATTTTAAATCCTTATTCTCCACAGCTGCAAGCAGAACTGCGCAGAAAAAATCTGTCCCTCCAAGCGATTTTCCCTTGTTGCCAGCTGTTTTGAAGGATGCATTGGACGCCTTATCTACGAATGGCAAGTCTACAAAAAAGTCGGCAACGGCTCTGTCAAGTCTTGGCAACTACAAACATACATCGGGCAGAACTTAGCTGAGGTGAAGGATCCCACAGGTCCTGTGTTCACGCTACCTAAGAACGTCCTCCAAGGCTCCAGCGAGTACCTTATTCGTCTGTACGGGCGTAGAGAAAAGGGGATCAGCGGAAAGACTGAGAGTGTGTTTTCAACAAATGAAGTCCCAAAGGGAGGAGCCTGCTTTAGTTCGCCTACAAGAGGTGATGCATTGGTAACTAAGTTCCATATTTGGTGCGAAGGCTGGAAGGATCCCGACACGCCACTGAGCTATGAATTCTACTACAAAAATGACGAAGGGAAGTTGGTACTGTTTTATTATGGTTTTCATAATTCTACATACTCTGAGCTGCCTCTGGGAAATCCAGCGCGCGATTACACTCTGGAGATATACATGAAAGTGTTGGACTTCTTCAAAGGCGCCGCCCACGATCATTTGCTTTTGCAGGTAAGATTTCAATTCATATTTACTTTCAAGCAAAAACTGATAGGAAAATGATGTTGCAAGCAGTTGCTGAAATGAAGCTACTTTTTCATGGATTATTACACTGTCTTGTGTTCTTGAACAAGACACTCCAGAGTGGCGAATTATTGGAGCAACCTGACAGAATGCTGAGGAGTGACCATCCCGCCCAGGGCGAGAAGCAATACTCCTGGTCCTTTATGCTACAGTAAACGCAGACAACTATGAGCGAGCTTTACTTACATTTTTGAATAACGAAAGAAAAAATTCCAAGATACAAAAAAGCCGTTAAAAAAGCTCACCTAAACGAAACACCAACGAATGACCTGTAAAGTAAAAGGCACATTTTATCTCCCTACCTTAATTATTTTTTCAGTCAATTCCTTTAATGTTCTGTTAACATTAATGCACTGAATGATCCATACTAACGGTCACTGAACTCATTGAATCATTGGAATAACTAGACATATCATGTGCTGCGTTCAATTTACACTTATTACTTTAAAAAATCACGCCACTCTTTTATAGCAAAGGCTGTGTAACAAACGAGGCTTTGTTTGGTTCAGTCACTAGAACCTGAGTTAGAGCAGGAGCAACTGGGTGATATGCTATCTAACATGACATCAGGGGAAAACAGTGCTCTGAGTAAACTGGTCAATGTAGGAGATAGTCAAGCAGCTTTGAGGATGGCAGGAGCTGTCAACTCACTGCTTAACTCACAGAGTTCTAAATCACCCTCCAACGACACCGACGGAAAGGATACAAGGAAGGAAAAGAGAAAAGCGGTAAACAAGTTTTCCTCTTCAATGAAGAGATTATAGTCTTTTCTCCCCGTACGACTGAGAACAGGCATAAGACTCTTAAGCCAACCGAATGAATTGTGTCTATTTGTAAGATAAAACAAATTTGTCGATTTGCAGCTGCCAGACGTTCTCAACTGTAACCATTGAAACGTTCAACTAGATTTTTCAAAAGGACTGTAGAAATGAATGATCATCGCAGTTATGTACACAACTTAAGCAATTAAGCAGTTGTGAAAAGCCTGAAAAAAATACAGGCTAGCTAGAACGGGATTCGAAACCATGATCTCTGTGATACCAGAGCAGTGCTCTACTAGTTGAGCTATCAAGCCAACCGGGAGCTGCTCACGTTGTTAATTTTTATTATCTTCCATATATTTCAAGTATAAACGTTTGATCACTTAAAACAAAGAGTGCCCCTACGGTGTAAGTAAAAGATTCTCTTGAAATCATTTCCTTTGTTGGTTTATACAGGTGCGAACATCAATCATAAAAGCAGCCACGTCACTTCCTGTGACATCGCTAGAGGGTTTGCAGCAGTCCGCTGACATGATAGCGAGTGCTTCAATGTTCAAGGATGAAACATCAACAACAGCTATGGTATGATATCTGCTAATATATAAAGAAATTTTCCGGAAAAACAGAACTTTGAAACGAAAGTTGTTAGGCAGAAAATATACTCTGAATCTTTACAACCGCTATTTCCCCCAAGATGACATAGCAATGTCGCTTTCGCACGTATCAGTAACGTGTCTCGATTCTTGGCCCTTTTTTCCTGACAATAAGCGCTTAAAGAAAGTGTCATCGACCTTTGAAAGACGTGCTACCTTAAGAAGTTTGAAAGACGTGCTACCTTAAGTCAAGGTCTTCTCCCCCTTTGAAAGGTTAGCAAATAATTCTACAGGAAGCAATGATATCTATAGTTAGGCTTCGATTCTCGTCAAATACGTTGCTAGGTAACTTGATTTAAGCTCATGGCGACGTACTCACGTGACAGTATTCGCAGTGCTAGTGAGAGCTCGCTCTTTTTCCGATTGTATGACAGGAATCGTGAGCTCATTGGTGATTGCTTATGTCACTATTTTCCGGCCAATATACTTGCTGACATGATTATCTAATTAACGATTATTCTATTTTATGGCTAAGCCAATGAGAACTGTTATCCAATGGTCCAGTTTTTAATAATAGTTATTATAAATGAACGTCACTCAACAGAATGCTTCTAACGAGGCTTTTGCTAGAATGACAGCCTTGTTAAAGAGCAGTTCTGATGATTTTGCTGGATACGACGCAGTGGTTAGCAGCGCCGAGTCCCTCCTCTCTGGAATGGGACAAGTTCTTAATGCCGCTGGGAGCTCTGTAAATGTCAAGCCCAAAAAGATGAATGCCACGAAAGCACCTCCAACTTGTGGACCTTACGAGTTTACTTGCAAAGAAGTTGATAACGAGGAACTTAGAAATATGACGGAAGATGAAGCTGTGGAGCTTGACGAAGAATCTTCAAAAGTACGGTTAACACGATTTGTATGTTCTTTACAATAAATGATCACAGACGTTTATAACGCTAACAGTATAAACTTCTGATGATCAGCGAAGTATTGCGCAAACTGGCTCTTAATATGTTCATATGACTGTTAATATTCCATCCAGTTTGACATGTCTTTGAGTGAAGTTTGGAAGTAAACGACGTTAAATTTACATGGAGTTAGACGGAGAATTATTAGGAAATAAACTAACAATATTTTTAATATATGTAGACAACTACTGTTTAAAATTATATTAAGATATTTCAATGGCTTGCATGACTTATTCCAACCGTTACGTGCAGTGTGGGTGTGTGGTGCGTGGCTTGCGCGTTAGCTGTAATTGGATAATTCAATATTAAAGTGGTACGCTGATTGGCTACGTTTTGTGTTACGTCAGAGTGATGTTCTCGTTTAAGCTGAAGGAAGAAATGGACTGTGGTTTTCACAATCGATCATATCATGGGAAGTTTAAAATTTAGTTTTACCATCGAATAAACTCTATCTTACGTCAAGCTTTACACTCAAAGCTAACGATAAGCCTCGAGCAGCTATTGCACATTTCAATGACGAATTTTGTACAGTTGAAGATTGACTTTGCTTCTTTTTTCCGTGTAGAGTCGAGATGCAGCAAACAATATCGTAGGTATGCTTGGAAATGTCAGCGGTTCTGTCTTAGAGAACATGCTCCCTGGTCAACAGCCCAGTGTCATATCAACAGCAAAACTCAACATGGCAGTAGAACGCTCAGACCCAGACTCTACGGAAGGATCCTCTATCGGTGACGGACTGGCCGGCTTTCAGATGCCTTCGTTTGGAAAGCTGTTCAGTAATTCAAGCTCAGACCTTGATGCTCCCGTGGACAAACAGGTTCGTTCAATTTGTTCGTTTAACGCTAAAAAAAGGCTCTTATTATACAGAAGCTCTCTTTGAAGGCTTTGCCGGGGTACGAACTACTACCGCAAGGTGCACGTTTGCAATTCCCTACAGTAAAATGAATTTTTTTTTGTGAGTCAAAATAAGTCTGCATTACTCGCTTCACTTTAACTGTCCGTTTCTTTTTGCTCTAATTGTAGCGTTTTTAGTCACCATTCAGTCACAGTGAGCACATTACTGCCCACCAATGATTAATTCCCAACGTACTTCTCTGTATCATTTTATGACCAAATCGAGTAGCCAGGTAATGGGAATAAGGCCTTGATAACCCTAAGAGAAACGTTTTGATTGAAACCCGAATTCTTGAAAAGTATGGTGGACTTTGATGGTGACATTATTAATTATTGCAGGGATGGGTCTTATCCAATGACATGAAGCAGTCCTAGCATATCCAGCCTTTCCCACTTTCCATCTCACGGCGTCATAATTTTGACATGACGTACTTAAATCCTTTTCAAGATTGCTTGCGCTCCTTGCACTCTACACAGACAGGCAAACCCTATAGAAAAGGAAGGTAAACTAACACTTATTGTGTACGAATTTTTTCCTTGCCCAGATGGCTGCTATAAACGAGAACCCTTACACTTGGGACAAAGGATCTTCAAGCATAACTGGAAAAGTCGTCAGCCTCTCGTTCAAAAGCAAAGGTCAGATAATCAATGTCGCTCATCTGGACGAAGATGATCCAATAGATGTCTTTCTTCCAAGGGATTCTCCTGTCCAGCCTCCAGAGAAATTCACTTTCAACTGTTCTGTACACCGGGGATGGCGCATCCATAAATTGGTGGTGGATAAAAATGGCAGCGCTGTTAACGTGGAAGCTAGTTTAGTCGGCTTGAGTCAGCAGTTTGTGGTTTATGTCAGGCGTGGAAAAGCTCCCACAACGACGGAGTTCGACTGGAGGGTGGTGTCTCCGAATATAACCGATGACATGCGAACGGATCCGAACCAGGACCAAAAATATCCGAATACCACCGAACAAAGCTTACGTGCGAACGCGACTAACCAGAATCCGAAAGCTCTTAATATATCCTCCAATTCAACGGGAGCTTTAAATGAAACAAGTGGCCAAGAAAACAATCACACTAAAGAAACTAATGCGACAAGTGCGACAACACTCAAATCAATGAAGATTCAACAGTCAAACTTGACGGTGTTTCTTTCCCAGAGGAGACTCTACGTCGGAACCTATTACATTGGCATCAAGTTTTCAGCAGTGTCCTTGGAGAACGAGCAAAAACACTCAACTGAGTGTTCAGGCAACGATTCAAGCATCTCCTACACACTAAGGACATTAAAATCCAGATGTTTATATTGGAACGAGGAATTCCAAAAATGGAAAACTGACGGATGTGAGGTACTCTTTTGCCAGCATTTGTGTCAACTTCAAAATGTTCAAAAGTTATGTTCTCAATCAACGTTAAATTATAATATTTAGAGAGGCCACATCAGCCCCAGCTGGTTTTCACGCGGGTCCTGGTTGAATTCAATTGGGAGTGCTGGTTTTTGTGGAGGGAGGAAAACCGGAGAACCCGGAGAAAAAACCTCGGAGCAAGGCGGGAACCAGCAAAATTAAATATAAGTTCGAGTTTCTTAGTTCGGACTGATCTGAACATTTTGAGATGGAATGGGTTGTGCAACTGTCTTAAATCTTCCAGGAAATTGTACCACATCTACTGCGGTTTTCTAAAATCACTCAGGATCATATTAGCTAAAGCAGTAAAACACGGCCAAAAGAGCCTTATTTGTCACAATGTGTGTAAAATTATGTTTCGCGATGTACAAAATCACCCTCAATTCGATGAAGGAAATATCGCTAAATTACTTATGTAAACTGAAGGTATAAAAAACCCGAGTGCGGAGAAAATAAACCGATATGGAACAGGGGTACTTGGTTACGATTAAACTTGAGAGTTATGAACTAAGAACCTGAAAACTTGGAGCTATAAATTACCAAAGATGTAACTTTAACCCACACAGACTACCTCGTCTAATAACTTGGAAATATTTTCGTTTTCAGGTTGGCAACTTAACGAGCGCGACGCGAACTCATTGTCGCTGTACACATTTAACAGCGTTTGGTTCCATGATGGATGTCACTCCAAACCCGATCGACTTCAGCGCCGTAGCTGCGGGCTTCAGTTCTATGTTTGACACTGGAAATGTGGTTGTTTTCATCTTTATCGCTGCCATGTTTCTTTTTTATGTCCTTGTGCTGGTTTGGTCAAGAAGAGCCGATAAGAGAGACACAGAACAGGTACTATTTTCTTTCTGTATCGACCAAAAAATTCTTGACGTGGAACTTGGATGTACTAGTAAAAGTGCGTACACAATAAGCGGTGCAAATATCCAGCATCATCAGAGCTACTCAAAGAATATGTCGTAGGACCAGAAGGATATATCTCGCATGCTATGATCCCCAGTCATATATTTTCCTGTCAGGCCATCCTAGTCCTCGTGGTATTGCTAAAATCTCCTACACAGATGTAACTTGTTCTCATATGCAAATTTGCCCCTAAGAAAAGCTAACGGTAAAAACTTCAGAACTTTAAACTGAAACGACGAATAATTTACCTGGCATGATTGGCAGATAGGAAATAGTGGTTAATATTGGCGATATTGCCCGCATATCAAATGCTGTTCGGTAAGCAATTAGCTTCATAGTTTTTTTATTTCCACACAAAGAACACTGCTTACAACGTGATTCCTACATAACCTTTATTAAGGCTGTGTTTACACTTGGTGCCCGAGCACTGGTGCCTGGGCACCAGCACAAAATAGTGTTGCATTCAGACACTGGGTACTCTAAGTCCCAAGCTGACCATTTAGTGCCCGAGCACAAGGTCGAGTCCTTGTACTCGGGCACGGTACTGTGCCCGAATTCTGGTGTGAGTACTTGGAATTAAGGCGTGTTCACATGAGTGCCCAGCGAAAATCCTACTCGGACACCATGCTCGGGCACTAGCCTGAACATAGCCTAAGATTCCTATACGAAATACTCTTCTTACATTACGTTACATTACGGTACTTACACTACTAGCTCCTAAAATACAATATTTACACTACTTACATTGCTATCCACACAGCTTACAGTTGAGTTCAAGTTTGTGGCTCATGTTGTAAGTGAATCTTTGTCTAACATTTTTCTTTTAGGCTGGAGCAACGCCTATTTTTAGCAACGTACCCAATGCCACCTATCACTATGAGCTTACGTTTTTCACTGGTCAGCGGAGGGGTGCGGGTACAACTGCTCAAGTGTCGTGTACGTTGGTGGGTGACCGCGGTGAAAGCGGAATCTGTATTTTGAAAGACGCAAACCGCCCGACCTTCCGACCAGGGTCCACCAATTCCTTCATAATCTCCGTCGGCGCTTCTTTGGGCACAATTACCTCTCTTAGGGTCTGGCATGACAATCACGGGTTATCACCCGCGTGGTTCTTGAAGCGGGTCCTTCTCCGCGACCTTCAGTCAGAAGCATGCGTGGTGTTCATTTGCGAGCGATGGTTTGCACTCGAGGAGGATGATGGCGTGATCACGCGTGAGCTAACTCCTGCGGGGGAAAAGGATTTAACGTCGTTTTCGAGGCTTTTTAGTAGTAAATTGTACAAAGACTTCACGGATGCCCATCTTTGGTTCTCTGTGTTTCTGAAGCCATCTAGAAGTACATTTACCCGAGCTCAGCGCGCTTCGTGTTGCCTTTGTCTGCTAAGTACCGCCATGGTGTCCAGTGCCATGTTTTACGGGCAAACTGGAGCCGGGGACGAAGGCGGGAGTCTGGTTCTGGGCCCGATTGAAATCAACTTAAGATCGGTCATGATTGGTATACAGTGCAGCCTCGTTATCATTCCTGTTAATGTTGCTATAGTTACCATCTTTAAAAGTGTGAAAGTTAAAGGGGCTGGAAAGAGGGGCAAAGAAGGCGACGAGCAGTCTTTGAACGAAACCATTTCCACTGCGGAAGACGAATTTTCCGAAATCGACGAAACGAGTTCCGCGTTTGAAGCGAAACTTTCGCCAGACAAGGATGTGGACCTAGATTGCGTTCAATGTGAAATTAATGATTCTAGAAGCGTGGAGGGAGATTACCAGCTCGTCATGGAAAACCCATCAAGAAAATTGTCTTCTGAAAAACATTGGTTTTTCCGAAACCCACGAGCAGGGCGACACAAATATGTGGTCCAAACAAACAGCACAGAGTCTAAAAGGTGAGTTTTCAATCAAACATATTCGACGAAGCATAGTACTTCAACTCATATAACCCATTCCATGACAATATGCTACCAACGGTATATTAAAATTCAGCATGATAGCGAAGCCTATAGAGGCACAAACAAGAGAAATGAATAAACATGCCCTACAAGAGTCTTTGTTTGTGTCCTCTAGGCGTCGCAACCAAGCTGAATTTTAACACATGGAAAACAGTCTATTTTAGAGACTTAAGGCGGTTAAGCTAAACAAGTGATGTAAAACTTCGCTAGACTAGAAGCCACGGTATCCGTCTTGAGGACGTAGCCTCCTTTTGTTATTGCGCAAGTTGAACCAACAGGAATGCAGGGTCTTTTAGGCTTTCGTAAGAGAATGCATAGTGGCTCAACTCAGTCAGTTAGAGGGATACGTGTTTCGAGCTACAAAGAAAGACTTTCTCATTTTACAGTTCCGAAGATGTCGAGGACACTTCAGGAAACTTACGCGAGGAACACGAGACTGGCACGTGGTGGTGTTGCCGAAAACAAAGAAAAGAAAAGAACGAGAGCGAAGAAAAGAACGAAGCGGCAGAAAAAAAGAAAAAGAAAGCTGAAGGATTCTTACCGTATTGGTGTCTGTATATAGCGTGGTTCCTGTGCATCGCAGCGTCTTTTGCATCGGCTCTGTTCACGTTATTTTACAGCATGATGTGGGGAAAGGAAAAGTCGAATCAGTGGTTCTTTTCTATGATATTAACGTTCAGTCAAGACACGTTTATAAACCAACCAGCTAAAGTTTTGCTCTTGTCAACTGCTTATGCAATTTTTGTAAGGAAGAGTGACGAGGAGAGTGAGGCAGAACAGAGTAACGAAGATCCAAGAAAAGGTGAGTGCTTTAGGTTTTCCTCAGAGTAGTTGTTCAAGCTAACAACTATCTCCCATAACTGTCAAAAAACTACTAAAGCCATGCAACAAACGCATATCATGACATACATATGACACGCTGAACCGTCAATGAAAAGCTGAAGTACTATGTAAGTAAGAACATGCTGCCAATGTAAGCGTAGCTGAAAACGTGCTTAACTGCTAATAAGTTGGACCTTCTTGCGTCCCGTTTCACAACATATTCTGGCAAATTAAAGATCTTGGGAAACGTAGAACCTAAGGAAATCGTAAATGAATCTGATGTTGCAACATGGAGACGTTACTTAAGTTTATGGGCATCTCAAATGCGGGAGGCAAGTAGCCAGTAATGGGGACGCAATGGATTCGGCGACAGAGTAGTCCGGGCGCAATTGCATCTGGAATCATCATCGCTGCGAAAGTTCAAAAGAAAAGTAGTTCTCTCTCATAGTACCCGTTCTGTGAACAATTAGGACAACTTGGCAATATAGTGGGGGTAAACTTACAATGTGTTCGCATCCTACCTGGGGTCAGTATAGTCCTACTCGCTTCGCACAACGGACAATAATTAAGCCTGCAGCGGTAACTTTTAATCTATTAAACCTGCAATCCTTTGTCAAAACGCAGGTCAAGACGAAGAGTGGCTTCATGAAACTGACATACTGGACACAGATGACAGACAGAAAGAACTGCTCCGGTACCGGCCCCCTGACGAGAGCAAGCTAAGCGCTCTACGTGAAACCAAAATAAGAGAAAAACAATTGAAGAACAAGTTCATGAAGCTTTTCGATTACCTGTTTATCCTGCTTGTCCTTATATTGGTCAGTTATGGCACCCGAGACCCACAATCCTTCTTGATGAGAAACTCTATGGAGCAGGAGTTTATCCATCCACTCACCGTCGCCTACCCCCAGGGGCTGGATGATGTAAGTTTAACGAATTTAAAGTCAGTTTTCTTGCCCATCTGTTCTCTTATCAGCAATGGTTCGAACAAAACTTGGTAAGAGTACTTTTGTCTGCACGAGATGCGTTACATTTCCATAGCACCAAACTACAGTATCTGATAGTCAAGTGTGTAGGGATTTAATGAAATCTCCGTGAGCAAGAGTTTTTATATAAGGTTTACAAAGTGCTGGGACCCCTCTTAATTTAGTTAGCTACAGTCTCCTTTTCTCTACGGTCGCAAAGAAGCTCAGTCACACGGTACATTGAGTTACTTTGGCCACATACAAAATTACCTTTAAAATGAAGAAAACCTGAAAATAGTAGTTTACTAAGACAGAAAAACGGCAATGAGATAATAACAAACAAGAAAGGAACAAGGTCTAAATTTCTAAAACGTAGTGGAATGCGCTATTCTTTAAGGGATTCCGAAAACAAACTGGTTGTACCTCATCCAAGAACTAACTATATGAAAAATAGCTTTAGTTACAGTGGTGCAACTCTCTGGAACAGCCTACCCTGCAATCTCAGGATGATAAAATCCTTTAATCAATTTAAAAGCAAAGTTAGACACGGCATTCATGGAAAACAGGATTAGTTTAATATTTAAATTAGGATTTACTACTTCAATTTTTATTAATTAGTATTTAGCATGGACTGTTTATTAGTAGTTTATTAGTATTAATTTTTTTTTTAATTTTTTTATATATAACTTTAAATATTAGTATCACCTGAGGATTTTTAACCGTGTATAAAGAAATGTTAAATAAATAAATAAATAAATAAATAAAATAAAGGAAATACGTCAAGCTGAGGAATTCTGACTTGTCAATAAATATCGTTCAACTTCTTCAGTGCTGTACAGGGTTGTCGCTAAGCGCCAGCTGCCAGTGAAGTTCACCGGCAGAGAAAAAGTTGATCGCCAGCTGGATTTTGGCCCGCGTTTACTTGATAAAGGACAACTTTAACAGTTTTAAGGCTACCTACAGGCAATCATTTGATATCTGAACCATATCGAACCATCTAGATGAAAAGTTTGGAATAAATTCCTGACAACAACAAGTAAAGTAGCTGAAATAAATTCTTGTTTTAAGCACTTGTTTAGCGTGTTCTCTTTCTGTATACTGCATCCACCATCTCTGCCATCTCAGTTGTTAATATGAAGCTTGTTGCCCCTGACCTTCAAGGAGTTGGGAAAGATTGAGGACAAAAATTTTGTTCCACGTCTCTTGCCAAAGAATGGTGACTGGCTTATCAAAAACTAAGCCAGGAGACTATTTNATCTGGTAAACCACAACACTTACTCTCCTTTCGCTGCCAGTTTAGCAGCATACTTTGTATACCAGATAGCGACATTCATACAGATGGATGTGAGCTCAAACACACAGTCAGCTGCACACCTGGATAATAAAGTAATAATAGAGACAAACATGAGAAGGTGTCACACAAGAGTCAAGATCTTTTCTTTTTATCACTCACCCACTCTGCACTATAATCCTTGTCATTCTGGATGGGACATTATCAAGTTATCATTAATTAAACCTTACATGTAATGTTTGGACAAGGTTGTTTACTTGCTTTTCCTTATAAAGCAAGTTGAATAATAAGTAGACAAAAATGCTAATTAATACGTTCTTTTGTTACTATTTGTCTTAATTAGCACTTTTCCTTATAATGTAACCAAAAATGCTTTTGTTTGGTTAGTTATTGCAACATCAGTTTCAGAAAGGTCTTGAAGGAAATGTGTCAAGCTGAGGAATTCTGACTTGTCAACAAATATCGTTCAACTTCTTCAGTGTTGTACAGGGTTGTCGCTAAGCACCAGCTGCCAGTGAAGTTCACCGGCAGAGAAAAAGTTGATCACCAAAGGACAACTTTAACGGTTTTAAGGTTACCTACAGACAATCATTTGATATCTGAACCATATCAAACCATCTAGAGGAAAAGTTTGGAATAAATTCCTGACTACAACAAGTAAAGTAACTGAAATAAATTCTTGTTTTAAGCACTTGTTTAGCATGTTCTCTTTCTGTATACTGCATCCACCATCTCTGCCATCTCAGCTGTTAACGTGAAGCTTGTTGCCCCTGACCTTCAAGGAGTTGGGAAAGATTGAGGACAAAAATTTTGTTCCACGTCTCTCGCCAAAGAATGGTGACTGGCTTATCAAAAACTAAGCCAGGAGACTATTTTCTTAGCTATAACCATTATTGTATAAATTTTTGGCCAGGTTGAAGAGCTGAACTTGTTAAGTTTCTGACCTAACACCAAGAATTGTATAGGTTTTGCTAATGTATTTTTAACTAATGATATAGGAGAATCTTTGTTCACAATATTTGCCTCATTACCATAAGTGATACTAACAGTTTCTGATGGAGCTACAAGGAAATTCATATTGAATATTGAAAGGGCACAGGACAGTTAATTGTCCCAAGGAATTTGAGCGTGATGTATTGAACACTTTTCGTGCGACGAGGGTTTAAAAGCTCAAAATTTTACAAAGAATGTATGAGCTCATTAGCACTTTTGCCACACAGAAATTTTGATGTTTTTGAAAGCCAATTTNTAAAAGCAAAGTTAGACACGGCATTCATGGAAAACAGGATTAGTTTAATATTTAAATTAGAATTTACTACTTCAATTTTTATTAATTAGTATTTAGCATGGGCTGTTTATTAGTAGTTTATTAGTATTAATTTTTTTTAAAAATTTTTTTATATATAACTTTAAATATTAGTATTACCTGATGATTTTTAACCGTGTATAAAGAAATGTTAAATAAATAAATAAAATAAATAAATAAATAAGGATGAAAAATATTGACAGGGATTACAAACGACGAACTTGAAAGATTTAGGCTAAACTTTTTAAGATGAGCAAACCATGACGTAGCTCCTTTTAGTAACCCTTGAAATTGCTCTAAACAAAGTCTTTAATAAAGGTCGCACTTTGCACCCTTAAATTGATAAGTATGCCATTACAGTACAAAAAAAGTTTCTTCATTGTAGTTTTGTTTGGTGAAAGCAACTGAAAAGTTATCGTTCATAATGTCGTTCACTTGTCTTTAGGTGAACAATCTGCCACTATTTTTGAAATGGGGAGAGCAGTCTTTGATCCCTCATTTGTACGAGCAAGACTGGTACAATGGAGACAAAGTCAAGAACAGAACTGGATTCACTTCCGGTAGAGTAAACAAACGACTTGGACGGATGAGACTACGACAAGCTCGGATTCAGAATGGTGAGTTGCTGTTATCCCTTCAGTACCAAGCAGATTATGAAGAAGACAGGACGGTATCGCCGCGCCAATTACTTATCTCACTAATTCCTCTCGTTTTAACGTTTTATCACCTTAAGTATAATGATATTCCCTTACATGAGTTGACTGATCCCGATTTCTCCTTTTTTGTCCTTTCTAATTTGGCACTATTACAGCGGTTTTCCATTGACTTCTAAAATGTATTGTTCTTTTACTTTGGTTTTGCGTTTGCTGAGCTGTCAGTATACTAAAGCCATGAGCAAACAAGCTGTTTTTTGTTTGACTAATCAACAGAAAAACCAACTGAACCATTCTTGAATGTACATGCGTTTTCCTGTGCTTGACGCAGGTTGCTTTTATTAGCTCTATTGTGACTAGCATTAGAAAAACACTCAGTACAGATTAAGTCGATGTGGTGCATTCCGTTGAAGAATTAATATTTTTATCACATGTATTACATTCTGAAATTCCATCAAGAGAAGCGCGAGTGAAATTATCTCCCACACCGGTCTTATTCCTAAGATAACCACTTTCAAGTTATTTTTAGATCACTCCCGACTTCAGAAATCCCTGGAGGGTCTAGAAATAGCCGACCCTGTGAGTAAATTTAACTCACGCACTTTCATCCTCTAATGAAAAAATCTATGCAATGTGGTGATATCAACATTATTCTAAGTGCGAGATATCATAACTGAGAATAAATAACTTGAGTGAGGTTACCTTTGGTATAAGGTCTATTTGGAGGATTAACTCTCTTCCATCTTCTCTTGGATCCCATTATTTAGCTTCCTCTCCGGTCGTCGTGCAGGGAGACAACCTTATCATTGGGTTGTATTTGAAGAATCAAAATCAGATTATCTTTTTCCTTTGTAACTTCAGGTAGTTGCACTGTGCATAAACTACTGAAAGACATTATCCCGGAGTGCAATCCTCCTTATCAAAAATCATTCGAGGATACCCGGTTGTACAGTCCCCGATGGAGAGATGGTATTCAAACAGAAAGTTCCTTGGGGAACAAAAGAAGCGTATCGGGGCAGCTTTCTCCTTGGGTTTACTTGGATCCCACGGAATCGAATTCTTCATTGACAATTTACGGTAGAATCGCGTTTTACCCCGGCGGGGGTTATGTGGCAGAATTTGGCGATAGCGTCGAAGAGGCGATGGCTCTTATTGACTATCTGAAGTCTACTCGCTGGATAGACAGATACACGCGATCAGTTATTATTGAAGGAGCAATATACAATCCAAACACTAACCTTATTGGAGTTGTGGAGACGGCCGTGGAAGTAACCTCAGCGGCTGCCTTTTTACCGCGAGTGAACTTTAAAATCTTCAGATTATTTGCCTGGCTGAATCCTTCTTATAAATTCAACTCGGCGTGTGAGATTTTATTCTTTGTGATTCTCCTTTACACACTGTACACAATCATCAAGGGCATTTATTGCAAGAAGAAGGAGTATTTTCGACAGACAATAAGCTGGCTTGACATGATCTTCTTTGTCAACGGCTTTGCCATCGTTGTGGTTTATGTAGCGCGTGAGAGCAAGCTCAAGAGTGCGGTGGCAACCCTTAAAAAAGATCAAGAGTGGTTTATAAACTTCTCCGAGTGCGGACTGTACAACGAGGCCACAGTGTACTTGTACGCGTTTGCAGACTTCATTGCCATATTGAAATTCATCGACATTCTTAGCTTCACCAGATGTGTTCAACTTTTGTCCACGACCATTTACAGATCTTTAGTTGAGCTTCAATCATTTGCTGTTATGTTGTTTACCATATTTATGGCCTACGCCTCAATGGCATTCACAATCTACGGACCTTACTTGGAGGACTACAGGTCTGTTTCGGCGACCCTGGTTTCCTTAACAAGCATCGTACTGGGGGTGTTCGACTATACCGACTTTACTTCGCAGCCCGATTACAAGACCATTGGATATTTCTTCTTCGTGACTTTTTCTAGCAGTCTGATGTTCATATTTACAAACGTCGTCATAACGATCATCAATGTCGTACACAAAGCTGTCAGCGGCGACGAGGAGATCAACAAAAACGACGCCAGTAATTTCAACATCATCCTGGATAGACTGTTGATCTTCACCGGCTTTCGGGGACCACCAACCCGAGAGGAACCAGTCATCGAGGAGCCGTCCATTGCTGAATTACAGTGGAACTGGCACGTGCAGTATGTAATGGACAACCAGATAAACCGGTTGAACGGGCTGGTAAATTCGATCTACACCCACGACGAAATGGAAGAAATATCTATTCTGAGGGTGTTTTCGCCAATACCAGAGGTAGAAAATAAGACGGTAACAGGTCATGGTTACCAAGGAGACCAATGCGACGTGTTTTCAAATGCTGCTGCTGCTGACCGAACCAAAGAGCCTGAGCACGAGCACGGGGACAATGACAAAATGGACATTCCAAATCAAGGGGCGCTTATTAAGGAAAGTGACCAACAGTTGCCAAATGTCTCTGCTTCTGAACCGCAGAAGACTTCAATTGAAACAATTAGTGACTTGATCACGAAGAAAGCTAAAGAACTGGAAAGGTTGGAAAAGGAGGGTGCTTGCGACGAAACAGAAAGATTACGTCGTGTTAAAGTCATCAGGTGTCTTCAGGATCTACTGAACAAAGCTATGGGTACCCAGGATTCCACCAACCTATTTCTGAACCACGACGAGGAATCACACGTTTGAACGAAGACATAGTATTAAAGCTAAAGACACCGCAAATTACGGTGGTCAACTATAGCGTACTTGGTGTAGCTAACAAAGTGAAGATAAGCGATTTGTTAATTAGGTTGTTAGCCTTTTAAGCAATGGAGCCGAGCCTCGATTAAAGAATATCAACTCATTGGCGGCGTGAAATTGAAACCTGAAATCCAATCGTTATTGCTTTAAAAATAATGAACAATTTCAGTGCCTAGCACAACACATAAACTACTAAATATTATTAAGTAAAATGCAGTGTATTATTAAAAGTGACGAAACATACAGAGTAACGATATTTTCTCTGAGAATTTAGCTAATTAAGGTGTCACATTCTTTCACCTTTCCTGACCGATTCTTATAAATAAAGGAAGATAAACTGCAATTTTTCACAGTAAAGGATCGTGTAAATAAAATCAAAAATAAGTCATGTAGTCGCTCACTCAAATCATCTTGTCTCCCTAGTGTTTAACTGGGTGTCTGAAGAATTGACTTCTAAAAAAGCTGACTATATCGAAATTCAAGTTGATATGGAACTTTTCTAACACTTAAAATATAGAATAACAACAATAGTCCAGCTAATTCACCATGTCTCGAAGGCCGGTGCCTCATGATTCTGTCTTTGCTATATTATCTGCGTGTTTGTTTTAACCATTCGCTCCGCACTTGGTGAAAGCAAAATTCACCGGAGAAACTGAGAAAACCTTATAGCTTATGAGAAACATACTACATAGACCCTAAGGACCAATTTATTACACGCAAGTCTATACCTGACTTATGCCTTGGTTTGTTTCTCATATGTTACACAAGGATTTCGTGCAAATGGAAGGCCCAAAATCCGCGATCCTATGGAAAAATCGTGTGGAAAGGAACTTAACTG